TATCATTTCAGAGTCATTTCCATCAAAGCGAAGGCTTCAAGCAGTGCGGGTCAAGTGCTAAGACCAATTTTTATGAAGCATGGTCTGTTTTTGGATGATATGATTGTGTGCGACACGAAGAGCAATGAAGTCCTGCCAAATTATGCCCCCATCATTAAAGCGGACAAGAAATTCTTCACTGCATTGAGCCAGGACGAGTTCAAGCGTGAGTCAAGTGACGATGATGGTCGTCTATTTTCGCGCCTACAGTCCACTCTTTCATTGATTATTTCATTCCAGAGTGGATCCACCGCGACAAAGTCGGCGACGTTCCTGTTCAACCGATGGACGTTTGTGCCTCATCAACGGAAGTCGCGAGGTGCAAAGTTGCCACTGTCAACGACTGCGTGACTGAAGGCGACGAAATGCAAAAGCGCCATGCTCTAATTCTGTCAGAATTGCAGTCCATTTTCGATGCGGATAACGTACATTTTGTACTATTGCATGCTCGTTTCTACATTTGATTGTTTTAGCCAAGAGAATTAATCGAATTTTCCTCTGGTCCTGGCAAACCGCGGCGACCCGTGAGTCTAATAAGAAAGAAACTTTAATTTCGTTCCTGTAAACGATGTACCGTAATGAATGCAAGTAAATGTAATGGATTCTGTTATCTGTCATTTAGATTTTTCTGTTTAGATAGCATCAATGAAAGTCACAATTGGCCACTGTTGATTTCTGTTATTTACTTATTATTTCTGTGATAAAACTAGCAGATAACTGCTGTATATACGTCAAGGAAAGCGGCCTTCTTCCAAGGTTGCTTATTAAACAAAGTTGTGTTTATTATGCTCTATGAATGTGTTGTTTGTTGCCAGTACATTCAAATTAATTGCTGTCGTTTACCTTTTATTCATTTACCAAAAAAAAAATGGTAGTGCAGCTAGATTTCTTGTCGATGGCCAAGCATACAGCTGAGACTGTCGTGCTAGTCCATGTGTTTATTGTATTGTTTTTTTTGTCTCAGTGACTTCGTTAAAACTACTGTAGCAAGCGAAAAAACATCGCCATAGAAATTATCTGCCAGACGAACAAGCAGTGTAGCCCAAAGGTTATGGATCAGCCATTATAGTACCACATGGGGATAAGTGGTATTATTGGAGTTGTTACTTGCACTGAATCTCTTTCAGACAGATGCCGCGAGTTTGTGATATCGCCCACTAATATTAACGTTATGGCCTGTGGATGCCCCTGGACCTTGGAAGTTGAAACAGTAGAAAAGGGCCATTTCGACATCATATGGAATTAGTTTTGGTTTGCACATGTATAGCGTTAGTTGATATTTGCACCGTATTCTTGTTCAGTTATGTAGTTGAACAGACTTCCATATCCACAGCGAAGATTATTGGGCCACTTAAAGGAACAGGACCTTAACACGGCAGATGTTACCTGGTCAGCGAAATAATAAATGCACAATTTTACACTCTGATATTGAAACAGGATATTTTTTCTTGTATTTTCTTCATTGTTAGTACACACGATGGCCAACAACCTTTCCTTATTACCAGGATTTTTTCAAAGTCGCCTCGAGTAGAATCTCTGACAGCTTCATTTTCTAAAATCTCATTAATCCGCTTCATAAACTTTGATATACTGATGAATATATAACATAACAGTTTAGTCATAGTAATTTGAATAGTGCCTAATCACAGTTGAAACTATGGTCTTGCATGTTTAGAAAAGCAAGGTGTTTGGAAATACCAACGATGACAAAGTGATGGGCGACTTTGTGAGTGTCAAGGATGTTAATGGAGATATAACAGCGTTAGCATTTTCCATAAAAAAGTATTGCATTATGATATGATTGATAATTAATCTTTGACGTATCATTTATAACAAAATTGAGTAGATCGGCTGAAAAGAAAACAATTCGTTCGGTCCAAAGCTTGGAAGAAGATTGGGGACCCTTGCGAGGCCTCCCTTGAAACTTAGCCACATGTAGGTATTGCCTTTATCGAATGTTGTCGGGCTTTGTCGTAGCCAGGGATACCAAAGATCCTGCAGGCTATTGGGGAGCAGATACAGACTGCAAAATGTCGGCGATAATAACCTGCTTCTCACTTTTTGGCAGCTTGAGGCGTCGCAACATGGCGACGGCTGCCGAAGATCGACAAGAACAGGACAATCAGCTGTAGAATCTCTCTTCGCTCTGAACGGAGGATACAGACAGCTCACTGCCATTATATCACCGGTCGGTACATAGGAACGACACCGGTAGTAAGAGCTCACAGTCAGAAATTATATCATCTCTCCCATTCAGAGGAGAAAGAGTAGGAGCTAGCTGATGATGCCGCAAAGTACAACTGGACGTAGTAAGATCCTGTCAACGAAGCAGCAGGGACCTGGCATTCTGAATTCCGGAGGTGGAAGCTGTTCTACTCAAGTATACGCATTGCATCATGTGCTTAGGTCGGTGTTAGTGTTACCGTAGAACTGCGTCAGCGGAAGAATGACAGTGCTCTGACTAGACCTGCAACGGGCCGAAGCTCTGATCTTGCTACAGGTCCATGAGCAAAATTCGGATGGAGAATATGACAGTATCCTAGACGACGTTGAAGTGGCCTTGTGCAAAGTGCTCATTACGGGAAATCGTTATTACGCAGGTCGAGCTTCCCAGATCTGAAATTTGTAACATTGTATTAATTGGGTTCTCAGGCATCAGTTTTCTGAAATATCTTTAGATAGTATAAACAACGGCAACAGTCTTCTCGCCCCTTTCACCTCAACCTTCCATCGGCAGTTGTACCTTCTGATACCGAGATAATCAGAAAAGAACCTCCCTCTGTCTACAACGAGGGCCGAATGGAATTTTTTCAACTCCAGCATATCGTGTATTTCAAAATCCGAAAAAATCTTAGTCACAACTATTTCGCACTACGGATGCTGAACCTGCACAAAGTTTAGGCCAAGTTGAAGGAAAAGTGTAAGGCCACGTGCAATGCCCAGTCTTTGATGTTATTTAAATCGAAGACTGGGGCCAACTATTCTACGCTGTCACATCAGACCGCCAGACTTGATCAAGAAGTTGAACTTTTAGAGAGGCTAGGTAAAACGATTAGATCGCTCAGGCATCCATTGTCATTGTTTGTTGAAGCTTCTACTTTGGGTCAGCCAGAAGCTGTAGTGCAATGGCCTGAGATTCAGGAAAATTGGAAAAGCATTCATCGATTAACTGGACCTTGTGACTCTGTTCACTGCTTAAGTACATTAAATTTTTACGGTGCTTTCGAGCATAAAGCGTGAATGATGCTTTTAAAGAAACGGTTGGTTCCCTGATCGATTGACATGTTCAAATATCATTGATGTTAGAATACTTTTGGATGTTCGCCATCAGAATGCGACCAATGGTCAGTGAGCAGACGTCAGACTCGCTGACAACTGCCGCATGGTTCGTGTGCTGAGAAATTTTCCTTACTGCTTAAGTTTTGTTCATCAATGAGGAAAAGGAAATTTGTGTATTGATTTGTTTTATCGATCGATGGGATCGATGCCAAGCACAGAGTGGCGCTCTATACGGTGTATTAGTCGGTTCGTCTGTCGATGACTTGTGTGCCAAATGAATTCCGTGCATGTGAGGAGACGTCGATCAGAAGCTCATCAGGCTTCGTCTGTGGGATGTCGAGATCTCAGGTGTCCAGCTTTGCGGGTCATTTTTTCAAATCCGCCATGCTTCGCTGGTGGATGTTCGTTTGCTTGTTCTGAGAAAGTGGAACATCGCATCACTTTGGTAAGAGAGGTCAAGTTCAAAAGTAAGTTGAGATTGTATGACTTTGTAGCATCATCTTTCCCCAAACCGAACACCTACCGGTCTGTTTGTAAGCACAGTTATATTCCATTAGCGAGTCAGGTATGAACCCTCCCACGTTGTTAAATCTTAATTGAAATTGTGTTGCTTGAATAATCCACGGCAATTTTGTGATACGAGTCTTATAACGAATTTTTCGGGTTCTTGAGTACTGACTCGGAGAGTAATGCATCTCATAAATTTGACAGTATGGCGTGAGTGTTTACCATTTACCAGATTTGCCTCGTAGCATGGCATACTGTTACGTTTTTATCGACGTTTTGTCTGTGATATAAGGTTTTTATCTTTCTCATACCTGTGAACAATGTTACACATGTCGTAAAATTCGTCTTTTTAATCAGGACGTGTTAATGCTGGTATTGTTCCATCCGTGGAGCTCTAACAAAAAAATCCAGCAGTTTTAAGAAGAATCTCTGAACATCGAAGTGGAGGCTAATCTCTCCAGGACAAACTTGACGCCGAACGAGAACTACCC